GACGTGGGGCTCGATCCCAGGACCCTGAGATCATGACCTGAGCCGAAGGCAGAGGCTTTAACCCACTGAGCCACCCAGGTGCCCCCGTGTCCTCGTCTTTTATCGAGACGCCGGTAGGATTAGATGACGTCCCAGTCTAAAGGCCTTACTTAATTCCCTCTTTAGAGACCCTACCTCCAAATACAGGTACATTCTGAGGCACTAGGGCTTACAGCTTCCACATAAGAATTTTCCACAATTCTGGCTCTCAAGTGCATGTGCCTCCCCTGCGTGGGGGACACTCCCTAAGGACAGGGACTGGATCTGAGCCCTCTGTATGGCCTGGAAGGGGGAGGTCTCTGGGCTGGGTCCCTGGGGCCGTTGTCCTTCCCAGAAGTGGGGACTCCAGTAACCACCCCCTCAGCCCTCACACCAATCCCCACTTTCCTGCGAGGGAGCGACTGGGTGGGGTAGGCAGGCTGTGGAGTGAGGAGAGAGGTGTGACAAGTCCAAGGACTGGACCCTGGGGAGGCCCTTGCCCACCCCCCACCCACTGGCCCTGGGGGCCCTCCTAGAAGGCCGACAGTCACGGAACACAGCAAAGTTCCAAAGAGCCCCAGCATATAAAGCACATCCCCCATCCGCCTGGGGCGCAGCCGCCTTCCTAGAGTGACAACTGGCTGCCATTCTGTCTGTCTAGCTCCTGCCACTCCCTTCGTATGTCTGGGACACTGCCTTTCTCCTCTTTGTCCTCCTAGACCCAGCCCTGGAGAGTTCACGAAAAGGTGTCCCTCCTCCACAAGGACTCGGTCAGCCCCTCACCCACACCCAGGCCCGCCAGCATGGCCCAGGCTCCCAGGCAGCCGGGCTGCCCACCAGCCATGCACCCACCCCAGACAGAGGAGTGGGTGTCGCGGCGAGCCCTTCCGGCCCAGGCCGCGGCCGCTATGCCCAGCTTCTGGACATGACTAGCCCAGAAGCTCCCACCAGAGGACCCAAGGAATGTGTTTGTTCTACACTGGGATTCCTAGGGTGATCTCCAACTCCGGCTCCTTCAGGGTTTCCAGGAGCTTCCTAATCTCTTCTAGAACATTCCTTCCCCACTGAGCTAGCCAAGGTTGGTTCCTGCTCTTTGTGGCTGAGAACACGCTGGGGCCTGGGGGCTGGAGAGGAGTTTCCAGGCCTTGTGGAGATGGTTTCCTGGGTGGGTGAGAGACCCCACTTTTCTCACCAGTGGAATGTAGTTCTACCCAGTGAAAAATGATTAAGAAGCGATTTATCCAAATGAGAGGAACAGCGAGTGAGGGGACCCGTGACAGGCAAATAAATGTCGGGACTTCTGGTTTTCTTCCCCCCCAATTTTGCCAGTCACAAATTTTTGCTGGTCACGGGGTTTTTCAGGATGATTCAAATGTTCTGAAGTTGGTTCTGATGCGCAACTCTGTGAACATGCTAGAAATCAGCAAACTGAACACTTTAGGTAGGTACATTGCATGGGATTTGAATTATATCTCAACGAAGCTGGTATTTTTTTAAAAGAAGGCAAAGACTTATTTGTCTTTTACAAAGTGGTCAGTCAACAAACATTCATTAAGCACCTGCTGGGGAGCGAGGCACTGTGCGAGCTCTAGCGGTGCCACAGTAAGCAAACCAGACACACGGTCTCTGTCCTGGAGTTTCCAGTCCTGTGGGAGAGGCAAAACTCACCCTTTTAAATGTCTAATTATAAAATAAAAAACATGCAGCGAAGGGAAAGAACAGGGATCCCAAGATTGCTGAAGGGTCAGGAAGAGCTTTCCTGAAGAGGAGACACGGGAGCTAAGGGATGATCTGGAGGAGCAAAGGAGAGAAATGTTTTACACTGAGAGAGGAAAGCAAGTGCAAAGGTCCTGTGGCAGGAGGGCTAACTAGACACCCATGTGTCTGGAACACAGGGAGCAAGGGATGGATCAACGGGGTTTCAGAACTGAGATGGTGAATCTAGATTCTGGTCTTGCAGTGGGAAGACTCTGCAAGTTTTGAGCAAAGGTGGACACGATCAAGTTCATAGTCCGGCCCCTCTGCATGCTGGGAGGAGGATGGGTGTGGAGGTCAGGAACACTGATGTGCAGAGACCAGCTAGAGACGGGGTGGCTGGCTGGGGGATTGCAGAGATGATGGGCAGGAACGCGTGGTTCAGAGGCAAAGAGGAACAAAGTGAACCCAGAGGGTGAGAGGGAGCGCTGGTGCCCCCCTCCCCTGGTTTCCACCTGCTGTCATCCTGATTCCTTTGATTTTTGGCCTCATGAGTCATCTGTGAGTCATCACCCCCACAATCTCCGCTGTTTTTTCCTTTTTTAACAATGAACTTGTTTTTAGCCACTGGATTTGGAGGCCTTTCCTCAAATACAGTCCTGGGGACAATTTAAAAGGCCATTTAATAAAAGATTCGCCATATCATGGCTGCCATTACAGACTCTGCTCAAGGCCGTCATGGGCTGGCCTGCGCAGTGTGGGGTCCAGCTGGCGACCCTCTCTGGAGCATGACTGTGGGGCCTGGTGTTGTCTCCCTGGGGCCCAGTCGGATGGGGCCCATGCTGGGCCATGACCAGTCCTGCTTCCCCTTCTCTACGTGGCTTCTGCGACACCCTGGCATGCCTGCCGTCACAGCCCTGAGCCAGAACACCACCGTCTGCAGGGCTCCCAGGAAAGCCTCCCGCTGACCTGGGGTAGGTGGCCATCCATGTAAAATATTAACTTATGAACGTTCTTCTGAACTCCCCCATTTGCTAAGGTGGCATCCCCAGAACCCCCTTTTTTGGGGGGTCTGCTCTGAGGCAGGCTGGGGGGCAGAACCCCTTGTAGGACATAAAGCGCGTCCATTTTGCAGTCACAGACCCCCTACCCCCAAAACCCAAGAATGGCCTCTCCTGCGGCCTCTCCTTCATCTACGAAGTCCCTGTTCCTCTGGCCACCTCCTGAATATTCTGGAATCCACCCCCTCCTTTCCAACTCCCTTTGTCTGCCCTGGTTCAGGCCTGGTTCCATGTGCCTAGAACACCAGGCCAGTCCCCCTCATCCTGGCCTCCAGGCCCCTCATCCCTGCTGCCAGCCGCTGCCCCCACAGGATGAGCCCTTTTACCCCTGGACTCCCCGACTCTCTCACTCTCTCTGCCTCCCTCCTTCCGCCCCTACTTGACTCACTTCCATGTGCCCCTCAAGACTCCTCTCCAAAGCCACCCTCGGGAAGCCCCCTTGACCTCCAGGTGGGGTTGCTTTCTTCCCCTGGGCTATGCATTACACACTGTGCTGTGACGTGTGCCCTGGGCACACATGGGGCATGGCTGGGGCTGTGTCTAGGATCAGTATAAGCCACGAGAGGGCCCTGGGACACATAAAAGCCTGGGGCGGGGCAATTCCTGTTCCTGCTCCATCCTCCCGCCCTAGGCTGGCTCATTCCCGTCTTCTTCCTCACCACACCCTCCCTGGGCAGGCCCTGAGCTGGGTGTCCGGGCGTAGAGCCCCTCTCCCTCTGGTGTTGGGAGCCAGGCCTGGACAGGACAGTGGGAGGTGGGCTCTGCCGGACAGAGCTGGTGAGCGTGGGGGGCACTTTGAACCCTTCTCCGATTCCAAGAGCCCCAGACAGTCCCAGGTTCCACAGCAGCAGAATTTCAAAGTGGCTGCCCAAAGGGGCTGGCTCCTATGGCCCATGTCACCCAGGACCCTGGAGCCTGAGCTCCTGACTGCATTTGAATCTGCTTCCGCCTGCACCTGGAGGAGGGCTTGCGGCTGGTGGGGGTGGACGAGTAAAGGAGCCCCGACCTCCGGGTACCCCACTGAGTGTCGGCTACTCCCGCAGCCCGCAGCCCGCCAGCCCCTGTCCCGCCGCTCTGCGAATGGAAGTGCGCAAGTGCGGGGCTGGACGGCTGCGGCGCGTCGGCGCCCCCGTGTGGCCACAGCAAGAACTACCGGCCTTGCCAACAGCAGACGCTAGCGGGGATGCGGGTGATGGGGCGGATAGACAGAGGGAGGCTCAGGCCCGGTACACTCTGTGGGCCCAGCCCTGTCCCCTGCACAGAGCAGAGCAAGGCTCCCTGCATCCCGCTCCCGGAGCCTGGAAGCTCCTGGTCAGGGCGGCCTTTGCACATTACCTCTAGCCTCTCCCTGATCCTCCCTGGGGAGGGCGGAACAGGAAAGGCAAAGGCAGGGCCGCTAGCGTTGGTGATGTGGGAAACCAAGGCAGAAGAAAAATTATTAAATTTCCTTACTACTGGGCGCCTGGGTGGCTCAGTGGGTTAAAGCCTCTGCCCTCGGCTCAGGTCATGGTCCCAGGGTCCTGGGATCGAGGCCCGCATCGGGCTCTCTGCTCAGCAGGGAGCCTGCTTCCTCCTCTCTCTCTGCCTGCCTCTCTGCCTACTTGTGATCTCTCTCTCTGTCAAATAAATAAATAAAATCTTTTTTTAAAAAATTTCCTTACTACTCACAGCGCACTGACAAGTCCTTGAAACAGGCAGAGTGAGATTCCTGTGGGGACCCAGCTGCCTGGATGTTGACATTTTGCTAGGGCAAAGGGCAATCTTAGCTTGACCCCCAGGACCCCGTAAGTCTACTTTATGCATAAAAATTCATTTGGAAACTTCCTTTATCTCTAAACCCTCAAGATACATGTTGGCAATTATCCTTCAAGCATATGACGCACAGATACACATCAAAGAGTCTCGTGATGGTTTTTACTAAACAGTAATAAATGACCTTTTCCTAACAACAGCTGGCCCCCTCAGGACCCTGGAGACCTTGCTTCCAAAATTCCTTAGAGACTTTCGCTCTCCCTAAGCCCTCCCAACTCGAAAATATATATAACGGACCACTCCTCACCACCCCAGTGCTGCTCTTCCTGCCCATGGGTCCTGTCCCTGTGCTTGAATATAACCACCTTTTTGCACCAAAGACGTCTTGAACCCTGACATCTGTCCTACATCAGTGGGACTGTAGGCAGGGGTGGGGAGGAGTGTGCAGGGCCTGGGAATGACCACCGTGTCCTTGCCCCCCACAATGGCCGCAGCCGCGCCCCAGCCAGAAGGGCCAGGCTAGGGGCTGAGGCTGGGGAGGGGGTCCAGGCCAGGCTCACAGCCCACGGGCAGGGTGGCGGCTTCGCTGGGTGGGATGTGGTGGGTCATGTAGCGCTTCCCCATGAAGGAGCCAATTCTCAGCTGCTCCGGGGCCTCCTCCGGCCACCACAGGCTGGAGCTGGATGGGGAGAGGAGGCAGCACTGGGTCCCCGGTTCTCCCACAGTCTATCCCTTTCCTTCCTTCTAGAACCAGCTGCTGGCCCACCTCCTTCCAGGTGGTTGCCCTGACTACCCCGGTATCAGGTCTCTGAAGTGACTGAGGGCTCCTTGGAGAGAAAACAAGGCCCAGGAGGAGAAAGGCCGGGGGCCAAGGGCACAGTGAAGGGCAGGGCAGAGGGAGGTGACCCCTTCTCTGAACCTGGCTTCTGAGGAGCTGCTGGGCCACCTCCCTGTCCTCCAGGTGAGGCAGACTGGGGATGGAAATTCCTGGAACATCCCTGGAAAGGGGGCATCCCAGGAGCTGGGACCAGTGAGAAGGGAGGGGCCCCCTGGGGTGGGGGAGAGGCCCCGGGGCTATCAGCACTCACAAGCGTGCGGTGGATGCTGCCAGGAAGGCCAGGAGCAGGAGGCCGGCCAGGGAGGAGAGAATAGAGGTGATGACGATCATACCACCACTGCGTCGCCCTGGCCACGTGTCGATGGAGGCTGGCGACTTCCCTGCGCACAGCAGCCGCTCAGAGGCTGCCCTGTGACCCCAGGGCAGTCCCTTCCCCACCCAGGCTGCCTCTCAAGGCCTGAGAGCCTCCTGAGCCCACCCTTCTGTCCATCTCAGCCAGGCATCTGTGCCCTGACAGCCTGTACCCCCCACGGCCCTGGCCTCTTAGTCCCACCTTCTAGGCTGTTCCTGCCAATGTGCCTGCCCGCGGCCCTGCCCATGGCAGCAGAGCCGCAGCAGACCTCAGGACCGACCACGTGGCTGTCCCGCTCCCTGGAGCCTGGCATTCAAGGCCTTCAGACAACAAGACCCCCACCCGCTCCGCTCCCTCTCCCCTCCCCCTCCAACACCCCCGGCCTCTGCAGCCTGCCTCCCAGGTGTCCTTCACAGCGGACACTGGCCTCCCCTCATGGGCAGTTTCCTTAGCCCAGTGAATCCCGGGTCCTGCTGAGGGAAATCTCCCAGAACCCACCGCCCTGACTCTGAGCCCGGCCTCCTTCATGTCTCAGCCCTTCTCTACCTGCAGGGCTTGGCCCAAGGCGTTGGAGGGGAAGGCTGCTTCTGCCCACGACTGGGCTGGGACCTGGGCACCTGAGCGTTGACCAACATTTGTGCATGGACAGACCCCTCGTCTCTGCCAGTGAGGCTGACCCGGTGCCCCACCTCCCCTGCACAAGCTTTCCGCTTGGGGGGACGGGCTGGACTTGGACACTGCGTCCAGGTCCCTGGTCTCCCTGGTGTTGTGGTGGCAGGGGTAGGCAGGAGCCAGAGCAGTCCCTCCCCCAACGCTACCTTGGTGAAGAGCGATGGGGTCGGACCACCTGGTCTCGGCCTGGGGTGAGCCCCTGGCGTCCATCAGGAGGAACTTCACCCTGTGGAGAGGAGAAGGGGGGGAGGTCAGAGCCCCGGCTGCCTGCCCACAGCAGCCAAGCTCCAGGCGCTTCTGGGCCAGGCTCTTCTGGGGCACATTGGGGGGATCCTCTGAGACCGCTCGCTGACCACAGTGACCCCGGCCAGCAGGTCCCAGTGTGCCTGAGCAGCTGTTCTCCAGAAACCCCATCCGGTTTAGGGGGACCCCAGTCAGTAACTGCCGCACGCAGAGGCCTCGGGGTGACTCAGCAGGCCAGAGGGGCCGGGAACCCCAGGACTTCCAGAGAAAACGGCTGGCCAAGTGGCATCTAGGAAGCCATACAAGGCCCCCTGGTAGGCTCTGGCACCCTAAGCAAAGGTCCAGGGAGAGAGGGAGGGGTGAGGTCAGGGAGCACTCAGAGCCTGGGATCCCGGGGAGGAGGCGGGCTGAGCACTGAGGGCACCAGAGGCCACGCATAGGAGCTCAGGTTGTATCTTTGCTCCAGGAGGAGAGCCGTGAAGGCGTCTGAGCGTGGAGAGACCCAGACCAGCAGGCACGGAGGGCAGCCAGCTCTGGTGGCTGCTGGGGATGGGGGCAGGAGGTGAGAGGAGATTGAGCCAAGAAGATGGCAGGGGGGAGGTGGGAGGGCAGTCCTGTCAGGCCGGGTGCCTGGCGGAGGCCAGGCAGGGCCAGGCCACAGGGAGGCTGTGGATGGAAGGGCCGGTCCCGCTCACACCATGCCCACCCACCTTCCCTGCGCCCCGAGCTGGTCCTCTCGGCCTGTTTGGACTCCCTGAGGACCCCGGGCAGCCGCCATCTCGACACTTGCTCTCCCACTCTGGCTCTCCCTGTGACCCTGGCAAACCCTCGCTGCCTTGTGCCTCAGCTCCTTCACCTGAAAAAGTGGGTGCTGATCTGCTTGCGTGCCTCATACCCACTGACTGGGTCTGAACTCAGCCAGGGGCTTACATTCCTGCCAGGTCTGCCTGTGGGCTAGTGATTGCAGCCCAGCGCCCGCGCCCAGTCCCCAACTCTGGGCCTGAGACCCCAGCCTGTCCCCACCTGTCACGGGCAGGCCTCCTGGAAAAGCCACATTTTGCCTGCCCCCAAGCTGGGATGAGTGCTCCTTGACCCCACAGAGGCCTAAACCAGAGCTTCTGAAGGGGAAAGCTCTGGGGAGAGGCTGGGAAAGGCAGCTCACCTCCCCGAGACCCCCCTCTCCCCCAGCACGGCCCCTGTCTGTCCCAGGATCCAGGCAGGTAACCCACCTGTAAGGTCCGGGGCTGGGGAGCGGGCTGTTGCAGTGGGGCGGCTGGAGGAGGTCAGCACGGCAGCCGGGGTCATTGCCCACCCGCAGCAAGGGGACGTCCCTGCCGCCGCCCGCGGGGTCCTGACAGGGCAGCTGGTCCAGGGACAGGGGCAGTGTCATATAGTGCCCCTCCGTCAGCAGCCGTGGGAAGGCTGGGATCTCAGCTCGTGTCTGTGGGTTCTGGAAGTCCCTGGAGGCTGCGGGAGAAAGGGACAGACAGGCGGGGCTAGGGAGCCTAGCCCCTTGCCGGGTCCAAGGCCCCCGCAAAACCTGGCCTTTCATGCCTCAGGGCCCAGAGGCTCCCTCCAGGCACAAACCAGGTAACTTTGTCACCCTCTCAGAGCCCGGCAGGATAAGGCCCAATGCCTGGTCCACCACCGTGGACTCTCCTCCGCCACCCCAGACCCACACCATGACCCACCGTTGCTGAAGGCCACCACCAGCCAGATGGTGCTGGCAACGCCGGCAAGCCCGTCCAGGACACAGCGAGGCTGCTCCAGGGAGAACGTGGTGGCTGTGACCTTTCCTTCTAGGTCCCAGGCTGTTATCTGTGGCGTGTAGGGGATCAGCTCTGTGGCCACAGAGATAGGCATGAGGGTCCTAGAACCTGCTCTTCCCCGTTGGCAGGGGTGGGGGGTCCCAGGATCCAGTCACCCCAGCGGGTGTCCCAGCTCCTTGGGTCCGGCCAAGTGAATTCATCCCAGGACCCCCACTCACCCAGGCTCATACAAGGCAGGGGCCAGACCAGTGCCCCCGCGAGGAGGAGCAGCCGCAATAGGCCAGGCTGCCTCTGGGGGAACCCCATGATGGCCCCCTGAGCTCGCCCTTCTCCCACATCCACAGCCTGGGGCTGATCTGGCTTCCTCCTGCCACACCCCCACCCCCAGTGCCTGGAGAGCTGGTTAGTCCGGCTGCAGTGGGAGGCTGGCCGAGGCCTGGAAAGACCTGAAAATGTAAATATGCCCCACCCTCTCCCACTCATCCAGCCTACCCTAAGGGAGCTGGGCAGGCCTGTAGGGTGCTTCGGACCGGGGCCCAATGCCAGGACTGAGGGGGATGCCCCCAGACCTCCAGATGCCAGCCAAGCCCCCCAGAGTCCCATGTCTGAATTGGGGTCCTGGCCAGCCTCTCTGCCCCAGAGAGGACCCAGTCTCTGGAAACATGGGCACAAGGCCACATGCCTGAGATTCCTGCACCCCAGGTGCCAGGAGCCGCCCTCTGGCCTTCTATCCCCACCTAGGGAGTGAGAGCAGGCTGGGGGATGCAGAGGCCCCAGCTAACCTGTCCAGCTCCAGCCCCTTGGCCAATCCCCCTGCCCTCCTTGCACAAGGCCACGTTCTTGTCTAACAAGAGTCTGGAGTCAGCGAAAGGCCCTTTGACAGCTGACAAGCCTCCCACTTACTTGACTCTTTTTGGTTCTATTTTTTTATAAGACAGAATTTTTTTAAAAAAAGATAATTCACATAAAACTCATCCGTTTAAAGTGTACTGCTCAGCGGGCTTTCACAAGGTTGCGCAAACACCACCACTCAGTTCGGAACGTGCGGATCACCCCGAGAGGACACGCTGTACCCATTCAAAGTCCCTCCCCATTCCCCGCTCCCCCTGCAACCAGGCATCTGCTCTCAGCCTCCATGGACTTCCCTGTCCTGAACACTTTGCATGGACAGAATCACACCAGTGGCGAGCTGGGGATGGCTTCTTCCCCTTAGCGTCCCTTTGTAGCCTGTGACCAGCCTCTGTTCTTAGGGTTCCAGAACTTTCCCTCCACTGTACGGAGACCAGGCATTTTGTTTCCCCGCTCCTCAGTGGACGGACAGTTGGGCTGTTGGCTGTTACGAATGATGCTGCCACGAGCGTTCATGTACAAGTTTTGTGTGGACCTGTTTTCTGTTCTTGGATACACGCCTAAGGGTGAAATCGCTGATTCATTGGGTAACTATCTTTTTTTTTATAATCTTAGTTTTAAGTCATCTCCACACCCAACATGAGGCTCGAACTCCAGATCCTGAGATCAAGAGTCACATGCTCCACTGACTGAGTCAGCCCGGCCCCACTGCCGCAAAACTCAAATTTATAGACGGAAGAAAAATGCTTTTGATGAGGGAGCAGGAGGCTGGCTGAGGACAAAGCAAAAGCTGGCACCTTGCACCCCTGTCCACCCGCTCCCCTCGGTAATGTGTGTCACATTCCTCAGGACCCCTGACTGCCATAAGCGAGAAACAAAGAGTTAACTTTGTTTAAGATCACAATCCTGCAAGACTGGAGTCTCCCTTGGTTTACAAATGTCCTAGAGATCTACAAACAAAGAAGTTACCTTATCAGTAGCCCAATTTCCAGAGGCAAATAACTCAGTTCCTCAAGCCCTAATGTCACCCCCTTCCCTCCATAAACAAAACTGAAGGAGGCTGAGGTAGAAGGGAACGTGAATATAGTTAAATCTCTTCTGAACCTCAATCTCACCAACAAAGACGCTTGACAGCAGGATTGTGACATCCCACCAAGAATCTCCCAACTATCTTGATATGAATGGCTGGCCAAAAGATAACATTGATCAAGCCTCGAGGTCTCGGGTATCCCGGCACCTCCGTATCCCGGCACCTGGTAGGCCCTCTTTAGCATATGAAAACTCCATTGAAACTCCCTTCCCCTCACCTTCCCCCAACCGCAGGGTCCGTAACCTGCCATCTCTCACAACCCGGGGCAACGGCGTCTCCGTCTGCCCACGGGTCCTGTCCCCGGGCTTTAATAAACTACCTTTCTGCACCACAGACGTCTTGAGAATTCTTTCTTAGCTGTCGGCTCCAAACCTCACCCCACCGAACCTGACCTAGGTTCTGGGACTTCATCACTTTAACATATAATATACTCATCTTTAGGCCAACACACAAAATAGACTTTAATTTTTTTTTTCTTGTGGAGAAAAGGGGATTAATGGAGGCAAAAGTACCCCTGGCCCACTCAGGATGCGGCCGGTGTCCCTGGAGCCTCAGGCCACAACCCAGGTGGATGGCAGGCCGGGGTACTGGATCCTCCTAAGAGGGTCGAGAAATTAGAACTTTGAGGATGGGGTCAGGGGCCGGGGCAGCAGCCCAGCTGGGTGGGGAGGGTGGGCTCGCGGGCCTCACCGCAGCCTTGGTCACTGGGGCACGCGGGTCGAATGGGCAGTCGGCGGGCTCCCTCCTGCTCGGACGCAGCAGCGCACACGCGCGTGCGCACACGCGCAGCCTCTCCGCCGACAAACACACCAGGGCCTGCTGACTTTGGCTATAGGGCATTTATTGCAAACAGAACATCTGAGGTATGAGAAGCTGACCCGGAACCACGGCTGCCCGGGCTACGATGGGGCAGTCTCGCCTCACCCCACGCCGGGCCCCCAGCACTACGGACCCAAAGCAGCCCAAGGGTGGGGCCCCACGCTCTGAGGTAGCTGCATCTTAAGCCCCCATGAGTAGAACTCCCAGGCTTGCCCAACTCCCACGCAGATCCAGGCCTGGAGGGGAGGAGGGGGGCGGAAGGCAGGCCCCCGACAAACGCCGCAGCCTCCGAGGAAAGGCACCTTCCGGCCTGCCCATCCCAGGGACAGCCCAGCCGGCAGCGCGGGAGGGGCCGCTGGTGGCCGGAGGCAGGCAGGTGGGGCAGGGTGGGCCCGGCCAGGCTTGGGGGGGTCACTGCTGCTCCAGGCAGTCCTCGGTCACCCCCTGGGCCGCCAGCTCAGCCAGCACATTCTGCAGGTAGTTGGGGTCAGGGTAGCCGTGGCCTGTCACATTGCGGTCCATCTCCGTCTTGTGGTGGATCTCATTCCACACCACCGTGTCCGTCTCTCCCGTGGTGCTGGACGTCCCCACTGTGAAGATGAGTCGCCTCTTCCAGGCCACCCTCAACAGCTCCAGGACCTGCAGTGGGGGAGGGGAAAGGGGGAGGGGCTAATGAGCGAGCCCAAGTCTGTGAATGGTTTTCTCACCTGCGGAGCAGCAGGGGGCCAGAATCCACTGGCCGCTCCCCTTCCCTGGTCTGACCTGCCCCACCAGTGGGGACCAGGGCAGGCACAGCGGGCACCTGCCCGGTCTGTTCGACCTGTACCGTGAACCGCTGGCAGGGCCCGGGCTGGCCGCTCTCCTAAGTGACCCGATCCAAGTGAGCCCCATCTGCTGGGGTCCCCAGCCTCCAGCTCCAGTCCTGACGCCCCTCCCAGAAACTCCCCCTGCTGACCTGAAGGCCCAAGAGGTCCCCCCCACATCGGAGGGTGCCGCCTTTTGCTGCTCAAGCCGCACCTGGGGCCGGGCTAACTCTGCCCAAAGTCCAAGTCAGGGAACCCCCACCTCTCCGTCCCGCCCCTCCCCCCCAGCTACCTGCAGGCCTCGCTCACAGCAGCCAGAGGGAGCATTTTCAAACCTCCCATCGGCAACACCCAGGGCGGCCTAGGGGCGCCTGATGCCCCACTGCCTCCACACCCGGGCTCTGGTCCTCCCCCAGACTCCTCCCAGCCTCCAGCCGGGCCCACCGGCTGCCACTCCCGAGCGATTCTGTCTGCCGGGAATGCCCCCCCTAGTCCCAGTGCCAGAGGTAGCTCCGCGGGCTGTCCCAGTCTCCCAGTCCTCTCCTGTCCCTTCCTCCCCTCCACCGCCCCCACCCACCAATGTCGTCACGCTAGCCTGACTGAAGAACAGGTGACCTGGCCCGAGAGGTTGCTGGAAAAGGCCTCCCCTCTAGTCACCTCTCCCGGGGGAGCGCACCCAATGCACAGTGACCCGCAGGAAGGAGGGGCCAGCACCCCCAGCAGCCCCAGAAAAAGAAGAAGCAGATGAGCAGGGCAGAGCTGGCATGGCCACCAGGCTGGGACCTCCCCACCCACCTGCTCCAACCGCCCACAGGCAGCCGGGCCCCTACCAGCCGGGGTACCCTGCCTCACCTTGCGGCCCTGGGCATTGTCTGGAAGGTAGCAGTGGCGGGGAAATCCCCTGGCGGTGAACGGCTTCCCAGGGTTGGGGTGTTCCGGGCCCTGCAGGAGGAACACAGACACTGGGCCTGGGAGGGTCCTAAGAGGTGCCCAGCAGCCCAGCCCACCCTTTGCCTCTCTGGCCAGGGCTATTCGTACACCCGTGACCAGCCCAATCCGTGTCACAGACCCCGCCCCTCAGAGACCCAACATGACACAGCATCCCCCCAGCAACCACCTTCCCTGACCCCGTGACACTCGATTTGGCATCAGATGCTCCTACTAGTGTCCCACCCCTCCCTGATGAGACGGGAACTCATCCAAGACCAGGACACACACTCCCACCCCACTAGTGCCCCTGCGGGCACTGGGCTCTGTGCCCGTGATGGCCAGGCCTCCTTCCGGACGCCCTCACCCCTTGCTTGAGATGGGCCTGCAGCGGGGCACGGGGCAGGGACCGCAAACAGGACGGAAGGGGAGCGCGCGGTGATGGTGGAAGGTCCTTGCTCGTGCCCTCTGCCACTCAGAGGCACACCACACACACCTCCACACTCCCCCTGCTCTGGGGCTCTGAGGCTGTCAGGGATGTTTTTAAAATTCACTATGATCCACTGAGAAGAAATGGAGGGAAACCACGGAAAAGCAAAAGCACGTGGTTGAACAAAACAGGGACACCCCACTTGTCACAGACGGGCCCCTGTGGGTCCTAGTCTCCACTGCCCTGGACCGTGCCCACCTGCCCCCAGCTCTGAGGGCAACCCAGGCCCAAGCAGGAGACTGAAAGGCCTAAGGCTCCTATTTGGGTCTCTACTGGGACCCTGGGACCTTTTGCTCGGGTTCTTGTCTTGCTCCTGCCATCAGAGCCG